TAAAAAAGAAAAGAAAAGAAAATTGCCCAGGAAATCTCTTCAACAATCCCAGGCTATAGCTATAAAACTAAGAGAGGTGGTCCATCCTCTCTAGGAGCTCGGATGGTCACCATCCCAAAGATTCTGACTCTCCCAGGTCTGTCTTTTCTGTACGATGGAGACGGAGTTGAAACATGGAATTATATTATTAACACAGTATATTAACCAGATGGTTAAGCACAAGAGGAAACGCTGTCTGGCCCTGAGTACTGCAGTAGTAAAGTGTATTGCTGCCCTTGGAGTCATGATGCTGGGAGCCAAAAGATGACAGCAGAGTTGAACTGTTGCCCAGATGCAATTACTGATTAGAATTGATTATTTATACAAAGAAAGGCAACCGATGGGTTGACCAATAGTTGTCACATTGCAGCAGATTTGGACAAAAGTAATGTAATTGCTCAAGAGACCATCTACCTCACAGAAATGGAAATAGAGCAGGGGGCCCCCAAGGACCCCTCTGGCTGCAGCCTCATGAACTTGATGTTGATGCAACCCTGGCATTCTCCGGGGCCGTCTTTGGGAAGTCCTATTCTCCCCTTCCATTAGGTGTAAGTGGCCCTGTTCAACACCCTGAGGTGTGAAGAAGCAACCTTCAACAGCCATGGTTCTGCAGTTGCTTCTCCTTTTAACCAGGCCATAAAACCACAGGCTCATTTAAGCACACAGTAAACTAATGGGAAATGGCATGTGACTAAATATTTGAAAGCTGTTGCCGTGCCTTATTTGATTTGCCTAATTACGTGTTTTACTGCCTTCTTTATGGAACTGTTGCCTGAGGTATGTGAAGCCTTTATACCTGCTTCATTTGATTCACTAATAGCTGAATCAAAACGCCGCGCGATCATGTTGGCATGCAGTTTTAAGACTGCTTCCAAGTCCCTTCCTTCCGTGGTCAAATTCTAAGACCCGTAGATGGGCATTCACAACCAATCTAATACAAAGGGTGTCCTGGCCACTCCGTCACCTCCCACACACATCCCTTCTCCACCGGGCCAAATAAAACAAAACAAAACTAGGGTATAAATATGTCAGGATGAGAAAGAAAAACATGTACGCAACATTCAAACACGGTCTGCCAATGTGAAGAAACAAGAGAATCCTAGACAATCACATGCATACTTGGCCTGCTCCCATGGTCCAGTGAATGCCGGGGTTACCATGGTGGGAGGGAGCAGGGGAGCATCCCCGAGGGCAGGCTTTGTCTGGGTGCTACTCAAACAGAGAGCTGGATTCAGTCTGAGGGTCTGTGTACTTTGGGGCAAGTCACCTCACACTGAAAAGGCCAGGGGAGAAGTGTGGAGTTTGGCTCCCTCTCATACTTTTGGGTCTCTCTTGACATCCTGCCCTCCCCCAGCAAGACACTCTCCAGGCTCCTCCTCAGCACCACCCGCCATCTGTGGAAAAGTGGCACTTTCCAGGGAACAGGCCAGTGAGGAGTCTCTTCTCTCTGAGGACAGGCTGCCGGTAGAAACAGCCAGCTCCTTCAGATGTTCTAAGTTTATTGGGGGAAGGAAACAGCATGGAGTGAGTGCTGGACAGTGCCTGGATACTTGAGCGTCCTGGAAGTCCAAGCCAAAGTTAGTGAACAGAGCTCACTGAGGTCCTGCCTTCCAAGGCAGAGAAAGGGAATGAACTATGGATCTCATTGGGGCCATATGGCAGAGACTGAACTAAGAATCCAGCCACGTTCAATTTCCCGTCACTTGAATATCATGATGGCTGAGGTGTGCCCACTTGGCAGTATGACCTAGAGGACTCAATGCCCTCTGGAAACAAGTGGCTATTAGTTATTCTGCAGTCATCATAGGGCTCCTATGTATAAAGGAGTCATATGCCAAATAAAAAAGTAAGAGGAATTTGAGGTCAACCTGATCTACATAGTTCCGGGTATACAGTCAGGTCTACCTAGTAAGTCCTTGTCTCAGAAAATAAATAAATAAATAAATAAATAAATAAATAAATAAATAAATAAATAGGCTGCTTTCTAAAGGGCAGCCTCTTTGTAAGGGTCAGACCCACTAAGCTACCTGGTAACGTCCCAATGG